CATAGAAAATAAACTTAAAATGGGAGGCACTAGCAGCTATGAGAATCAAAAAAGACATCATGCTGCTAATGGTATTGGAGCTGAGCTGTGAAGGAAACTCAAAGCACAAATGAGAAAAGAGAGAATCCCAAGCATGATGGCAGCCTGTGCAAAGCCACAGAGATGGGAGATGGGATGTCAGCTGTGAAGGACATTCCAGTGCTTAGTATGGTGCCTGGCACATAGCTGGTGCTTAACAAATGGTTAGAGGATTGGATTGAAGGCAGAGCAATTTGTCTGTATCACGTAGTGTGTGACGTAGAGTATTAGATGATAAGTTTGGAAAGGTACAATGGGGTCAGCATGTAATGAGCTTTAAATGCTAGGGGAGTTTGTCCATCTTCATAGCTGCCAAAGAAATTTTCCTAAAGCACAGGTGTGACTATGTCAATATCCCCCTTGGTAATTCCAGTGGTTCCCTATTGTTGCTAAGATCAAGTATAAGCTCTTCTGTTTAGTTTTTAAAGACCTTCACAACCTGATCCCCACCTGCTTTTCCCACAATAAACTATTGAACTCATTGAGGTCAGGAATGGTTTTGGTTTTTGTCATTTCTAGAACCTAATACAGTGGCTGGCACACAACTGGTGCTCAATAAATGCTTGTTGTTTGAGTGGCTGATTGATGATTGATTTCAGGGGCAAGAAGGAGCCATCAGTGTTTCCTGAGCAGGGGAGTGACATGCTCAGATTTGCGCTTTACATATTATCACTTTGGCAGATATGTTGGGGATAAATTGGAAAAAGGAGGAACTTGGGCCAGGAAGATAAATTGGGAGTCTGTGGCAATAGTACAAAAGAGAGGCTATTAGGGCTGACCTTGTTAGTGCTCTGGAGGTAGAATTGACAAGATTGAGTGACTGATTAGATATATGTTCATAAAGGACAGATAGGAGAGTCAAGGATGACTGAGATGGCAAACTGGGTGACTGGAAGAATGGTTGTAACCTCTGAATAAATACGGAAATACAGAAGATGGTAGATTGGGGAGAAAAGATAATGAGAATGTAAGCTCCTTGAGAGCAGAAACGTTTTTCTATTTCTATCCACAGCACTTAGCGCAGTGCTTTGCACATAGTAAGTGCTTAATGGGTTTTTTTCCATTCATTTGTTCGCTTATTCATTTATTCATTCATGATTGTGCAGACAATCTGCTAGAGAAAATGGAAGGGCATGAGACCAGAATGCAAGTAGAGAAGTTGACCTTGGTAGGAAAAGTGCCACTTCATCAGACACTGGAATAAAGGAAGAAGCAATGGAGAATAACACCAAGAGGTTTTGAAATGTAGAGTGGAGCAGAAGAGGGAACACATAGAAAACTGCCTCTATTATTTTGTTCAGTTAATTATGAGATGAAGCCCTCAGCTGAGTGGCATAGAAGAGATGGTTTGGAACAGCTGCTGTGAGGAGTGTAAAAATCAACTTGGGAGGACTAACCGCATCCCCTTGCTATAACCAGGGCCCAGTTAAGATTAATTAACATAAATATGTAACAGACCCAATCAGCACAGTTTTGTGATTTCCTCTCCAGGGTATACTCCTCACTCCCCTCTCAGACTTTTGCTACAGGGCTACGATATACTGTCTGCCCTAGAAGCTCACTCCAGGCCTGGTCTTCACTGGAAAGTGAAGTGCCCCATTGATCCCTCTTCTGATTGCCTGGTCTTTCCAGAATCTCCATTTTAAAGAGGACACCCAGACCACTCATCCACATTTTCCTTTCTCTCCAGGCTACAGTCCTAACTCTCCTCCAGTACATTTGTGCAGGGGTGTGCTGTTAAGTGTTTAATAACCCCTTCCTTCTCTTTCCCCCCCAAAAGTCCTTACAAAGCACTTAGTTTAATCAACATCAATAACACTTTAAGTCTAGACAATAAACAAAATAAACCAAACCCTGACCTGTAGCATTTCCAATTTCTGAGATGTAAAATGCTCACGCTGAAAATTTAATAACTGGCTCCTGTCAGCTAGTTTGAACTGTTTCTAGTACACCCCTGCCTATGTGTAAAAAAGAGACTTTTTTTAGAAGACATGCTTTACAGACGGCTGCAATTGGTAGGAGGAGGGGTGAGAAACTCATCCAACTCTACATCCAGATGGTGGTGCCATAATACACCATCTTTGTACCTTCATACTGGTTGTCTCCATATCTGGAATGTACTCCCTCCTTCACCTCTGCTGCATAGACTCCCTCTCTTCTTTCATGGTCAAGAACCACCTTCCAATTAAAAATATTTCTTCATCCTTCTAATTATTAGTGTCCTGTGGTAGGTCAGGGTTTGCCAGTTTCATGGCAACATGGCTTAGTTTTTCCTGAAATGCAATGGGGCTATCACTATTTGATTGGACCCTCTCTCCTTTGATACAGGTTCCTTGTCACCCAAGAGCAAGGCATGTCCCACTTATGTGAAGTCAGGGCCTCTGGGTTTGGCTGATTTCCAAAGACCACAGAAATCACCATATCTTGCCCTGCTAATAGAGATGAGGGAGAGTGTGTCTAGAGAATATTACAAGGACCCAAGTGCTGCTGTATCCTAGTTAGATAACCTTGCTCTGTTAGGGCAAAGTAAAGCTTATTATGAACTTCTCGATGATTCATGAGTGCCTCATTTTATCCCAAGATCAAACCTTAATAGGATGTCAGAGTTAAGGCCATCTCTACCACCTTCAGTCTAGACTGCTTATATTTAACTTTGTATTTAGAATATCTATATTTTATTTTGTATATATTTATATGGCAAATTTACTTGTCTCCCCTCCTCCCCACTCCCTAATTAGATTAAGTTCCTTAAGAGTAGGAATCATTTTATTCTTGGTCTTTTTATCTCCAACATCCAGAAAAATGCCAGGCACATAGTAAGTACTTAATAAAGCTCATTGATTCATAAATCAAAGAATATTTCCCTTTTCCTTTTGTACAAGGGAACAATCCCATCTCTGAAGTGTTGGAAATACTCCCTTGTTTTCAGAAGTTCCAGGATGCTGATTGGTGGGAATGCCAAGAGAACTGGGTTCTAGTCCTACTTCCTTCATTGTGGTCTCTCTCAGACTCATTTCCTTCAATTGTAAAGTGGGGATTATGATGTCTTTACTTCCTGCCTCACAGAATTCCTATTACCTGTTATATTGATATTTATAAAAGCTCTTTGAGAACTAAGAAGCACTATTTCAACATAAAATATTATTATTAAGAGTGCTGCTAGGTACCCATCATATCCACATCAAGGAAAATAAAGGTCGTAAGTGTGAGGTAGACCTGGAAAAAACAAAAACTAGAGAATGAATGCAATCAATCTCCATGATAATTTTATTTATTAATGTTTTAATTGATTTTCCATTGTTATCATTTTTCAATACCCTTTCCACAGCAGAAACCTCTTTTGTAACAATGAATTACAGTTAAGCAAAATCAAGTGATACATTGACCATTTCTGTTAGAACATATGTCTTGTTGCCCACCTGCTTCCTTTTAAAGTAAAGTCCCATCCATTTAGAGCTTATTTGAGTATATGGTTTAAAATGCTGGTCTAAGACTAATTTTTGCCAAATTGCTTCACAGTTTTCTCAACAGCTCTGGGTGAATAGAACGTTCTTCCCCTAATGAGTTATTTTCTTGGATTTACAGAAAATTTACTTGCTATATTCAGTTGTTTCTAGGTTTGATTTAAGTCTCTTCCACTAATAGTTTTGATGATCATTGTTTTGTAATGTACTTTGAAATCTGGTGATGCTAGATCTTCCCTTCATTCCTTGAGATTTTTGAACTTCTGCTCCTCCGGAAGAATTTTGTTATTATTTTGTCTAATTCTACAAAGTAGGCCTGGTCAGTTTGATTGGCATAGAACTAAATATGATGACAAATTTAGTAATATAATATTTTTTATCATATTAATCCTAGCAACTATAAACAATGTAGCTCTCTCCTATTTGTCTTCTTTTGTTTCTAAAAAGATCATTTTGTAATTGTATTTCTACAAATTGTGAATGTGTATTGGTAGATTAATTCTCAGATATTTTATGGATTTTGTAGTTATTTTGAATATTATCTTTCTGTCTATGTGTGTGTATAAAATCTCATTTGATCCTTACAGCAATCCACCACAGATGAGGAAAGTGAAACTAAGAGAAATTGTGATTTATCCTTGTTCACACTTCAAGTAAATGTCGGAGGCAGTATTTGAATTCAGGTCTAAATCTGGTAATCTTTCCACAACAACACACTGCCTTATGGGCAAGTCAATCATGTAATTGGTTTCTTCATCTATAAAATGGATGTTAGTCATATTTGCAGCATATACCGGAGGGAGCTATTGTGAAAATAAAAGGGAAAAATGTATGTTAAGCATTTAAAAAAAAAACTTATACTAAATAAATTCCAGAAGAAATTCCAAGTTCCAAACAACCGTACTACAAATTTTGAAAAACAACTTCTTTTTAAGAAGAAGACTCTTTTAAAGTTGGAGTTAGAGGTCAATTGCATTAGAAAAAAAAACACTTCTTTTGCAGATACCACTTTAATTCTGTCCCCAAAACTTTATATTCTTTGTCAATTGTGTCAAAATAATCTGACATAAACCAGCAATTCTAAACACCATAGGTATATATATATATATATGTTTGTAGGTACGTTTATATGTATGTATGTATATAGCTAAATGATAAAGTAGATAGAGTGCTGGGCCTGAGTCAGGAAGATCTGAGTTCAAATGTGACCTCAGACACTTACTAGCTGTGTGATCCTGGGCAAGTTACTTAACTGCAGTCTGCCTCAGTTTCCTCATCTGTAAAATGGGGATAATAATAGCACTTACCTTGTAGGGTTGTTGGGAGGATCAAATGAGATAATAATCATGAAGCATTTAGTGCAGTACCTGGCACATAGTTATGCTATTTAAAAATTAGAGTGTGTGCATGCATATGTGATATATATGAATATGTATATATTTTATATATATATGTGTGTGTGTGTGTGTGTGTGTGTGTGTGTGTTCATATACACATATATGTGTGGCTATAAATTATGAAAGTGAATTTTTAACCATCACTGTGAAAATTGATGAATTTAAATGTCCATTCATGTTGTTCGTGAAAGCAGTCACTCTGGAGAACTGTGAATTTATCTCAATGAGGCTGCCATTTCTCAAAGCCCTTTGTGAATTCCCTCATTTTGGAACTGCCTTCAGAGTTGTATAAGCAATCCACTCTTGTTACTTGTTGAACCTTTTAAATTGGTATAACCCACCTTGGCCATCCATGTTATTCATGACAATTGGCTCTGAATTACTATTGGCTGTTTCCCCAAATCAAATTGACTCTGAGATAGTGATGATTTGTCACCAATTAGGGTATTCAAAAGCACGTGCCACATACTCTGGAGCCAATCCCCAAAAAGGCATTCCAAAAATGCTTTGAGCAATGGCAACATTGTTGGAATAAGTGTTTAGCCTGCCAAGGTAACATTTGTTAATTTGAATAGGGATTGTATTCATTTGGAGGTATAAGTTCTGGTACATTTGTCAAAAAAATTGCTTGCCTTACTTTATAGTCATACCTTATACACCTATTACTTTTTAGATTATGCCAGATCAAGACAGATGGAATCCACTGTAAAAATATTAGCCATTATCATCAGGATAACTTAATTATTGCCATAAACTCCTGGATATACCCATGTAAGAGAGTACCTCAAAAAAGGCATTAAATAACCAAAAAGATGAAGTCATCTATTCCACACTAAAGACATTTAGCATTTGGTCTTTATATTAATATAATACAGCAATGACTACTTGCTAATTAATGATTTCCTTTCTAGACCGACAGCAAAATATGTCCATATAGGCAACTTAAAAGTGAACATGTTTATATGCAGGTAAGAAAGAATTATTACAAGTTTGTTTCTTTTTCTTAAACATAACCACACTCCATCAACACAAAGAAACAGCTCTCCTCAATGTTTTCAACATCAGCTTTCCTCTGCTACAAATCTCAAAGAATTTCGGTTAAAATCCAACATTACATGAATAAAGGAAATATTTGTTGGGTCTCTCAGATGTTGTTTGTTAAAAAGACTAAATGCTGATGAATTTTTCCATGAATACAACATTTATGAGTCGTTGTGCTACCAACCTTCTGTGTATCCAGAAGAAATGGTAATAACTAACTTCCCTCAGCATAGTGGAGGTTTGGTCCTTCAAGAGGCCAACACATCCAGGGCTTCTGAAGGATTCAACACAAGACTCCCAAGTCAAATTATTTTTTTCTACCCACCTCCACATCCTCAGGTGCCATTCTCTCCACACATAATGTTCCCTACACTCTTTATTGTCTCTAAAACCCAGAACAAAACCATGTTAGGAAACTTTCTCTAATTAAGCCAATTTCATTCTATGATCATTTGTCTATCCTGTAGCTCTTCTTAACTATGTAATTTTCTACCTACTAATATTTTGTATCACAAGTATTTTAAAAGTAGTTGCATGTGGGTATCTTTGGTGTCTGTACCCAGACTGTATAGTCACTGAAGTCAGGAAACATAATTTCTTTGGAATTCTTCCTAAGTCCTCAGTGCAGTGTTCAACACTCAAAAAATTAATTTGACTGATTTTACTGTTTGAGCTACATCATTATTTTCCATTATATTTTATAAACTATATTACCTAATATCTTCCCTGTCTTAGGATGAAGGATAGATTAGTGCCTTCAACTTTGTTCTAGTTCTACACCTACTTTAAATTATTGTGAGGTCCATATAATTATAGGTGAGTATATCTCTGTCAGTAGATAATCTGCAAAAAAAAAAAAGCATGCCTCCACTAGGTTAGATTCTAAGAAGTCTAGGAAGTTTTGTTGTTTTCTTTCTTTTTTTTTTTTTAACATAAGAATGTGATGATGACATGGCTTTTAAAATGCATGGTAGATCAATCAACTTTATTTGTGACTTTGTGAATTTATTACATTTTGGAAAGGTCTTTATGTAGAAATACACACCCTTACACTATCTCTCCAGCTCTTGAATATGCTTTTCCGTACTTGTCAAAGAGAACAAATGGTGGAAACACTGTCTGGAAGTTCTAGGAGGAAAAAAAAGAGAAAAAAAAAGGTTTAAAGTAGGTAGACACATTTATGCTGTCTAAATTTGTTTAAATTACAATGAAAAGGCATAAAGAGTACCAAATTAATTTTGATTTCAAAATTATAATCCTGCTTGCTAATGGATAGCAATTAGATATTTTAAGATCAGAAAGTCATTGGCTGAAGGCAAGGAAATAATCCATTCATTAATTCAATAAAAAATTAAGAATATCTACAGTGTGCAAAGCCCTGTATTAAATTTTGTGATGATACAAAGATGTACTAAACAGTATTTCCCCCCTCAAGGGACCTACAATCTATTGGAGGAGGCAAGACAAAGAACTAGGATATAGAATAGAACCATTAATATCATATCTATATTTGGAGGAAAGATGATTCAAGATGAGATACATTTCCATTCAAGATGAAATGTTTCTATACTTCACTATAAATGTTTTGTGTGTGACTTTTCTTTTTCAATTAGCTAATTAACAACAAGACCCTGCCTTCAAGGAGCTTATGTTCTAATAGGGAAGTTGCTATGAACATATATAGGTCTATATAAAATTTATGTGAAGTAGTTACAAGGTAACCTTATAGGAGAAAGCCCTAAGAGTTGAATGATGGAAGTGGGAGTGGGTTTGGGGTAGAAGAAGGGGAGGGGAACTCGCAAAGTACCATCTATCAAAGGATATTATTTTCCAGCCATTTTAAATGATCTTTGTGGCTGTCTTCTAACCCTCCTTCATTGGCTGCATACCTTTCTGGGTCTAAGTAGTTCTGAGTACATTCCAAAGACTATGTCAAGCTTCCTAGGTGCTATATCCTCAATGTTATTCAATGTTTCTAGACTACAGTAGTACATTTCTGACCAGCCTTGAGCATTTCCGATTCTTTCCCAATTTTATTTATGTAGTTTATTTTTTCTTACCCAACTGGTATTATGATTAAGAATATATCATAAACATTTTCCTTTGGGAATATTTTCTTTGAATATTTTCTCAACTATTGCACTGATACATTGTGTGACAGAGTGGAAAGTCAGCTCTGAAGCCAGGAAATCTGGGCTTAGGTCCTGCCTTGGACTCTGGGACTGCCGTAAGCAACTCTCTAAGATTGTAAATTGCAGAGAAGGTGCTGACTTGTGTTGGTAGAGTTTCCTCACCCAGGACTTACACATGACAATGAAATTACAGATCCAGTCCCTACACCTCTGTTATATAATCTTAGTTATGAGCAGGCCTTAGATATGGCTGAATTTTTTTTTACTGCCGAAATACTTTGGAAATCACTTCGGCATCAGCTATGGAAATCCAAAAGGTACAAAACGCGAAGGTCCTCAGAGTACTTTACTATGTTGTAGCACTGAACTCTCTAATATTTGGAACCAGATCTATGATTTGTTCCATATAGGAAACTCCCTGTGTGAAAATTCCCTCCCTTAATTCTGATCATCAACTCTAATCTAACTTACACTGTTGCTTTGGAGTAGTAGGAGGTTCAGTCCTATAATCTCATGTTTTATCAGGGGTCAGTGGGACTCCTACTCAGGCTCTCCTGTGGTTAATACAAATTCCCTGTCCACTAAATGATGCTGCCTCTCACCTTCTAATACACATAATAATAACAATATTTAACTTAATCAGTTTTAAAATGAATCTTCATTTAAAAATACCCATTTTTATGGACCTGCTATTTCCTTCTAAGGATAAAAAGGTACTTTCATGTTTAGTCCTTTCGTCCTTAAAGTTAAGAAGGCCAGCATGCTCTTTTCTCCTGTTAAAATGTCCCAAAAATGTGATGGTGGAGAAGGGTGGTAGTGTCGCTTATTTCCATAGGTATGTTATCTCTATTGTTTGGTTTCATGTTTATGCTATAGTCTACAGATAATTGGGTGTGAGCTGTCCAGAAATCCCTTACTGTCCTTGATACTGTATTTGGTTGTTGGTTTTTTTTTTCAGTTTGAATTACTATTTTCTTGCCCAGGGAAAACAGCCCTCTCCCATAGTGAATCAATCCAATTGGTATTTGATGTGAGAAGAGGGGGATATGCCACAAGAGCTGCTCTGGCTTCAGGAAAGCTTGCACTGATCACCGTGTGCTTAAAATTTGATTCTCATAGAAATGCACGTCATTGTGACATGATGATGTGCATTCACTAATTGCAATGAAACAATCTGTCCTGTGTTTGCATTGTCTTACTTGTAAATAGAATTCTCTCTCTCTCTCTCTCTCTCTCTCTCTCTCTCTCTCTCTCTCTCTCTCTCTCTCTCTCTCTCTCTCTCTCTCTCTCTCTCTCTTCTCTCTCTCTCTCTCTCTCTCTCTCTCTTCTCTCTCTTCTCTCTCTCTCTCTCTCTCTCTCTCTCTCTCTCTCTTTCTCTCTCTGTCTCTCGGCCAAAAAAACAAACAGAAAAAAAACAACCAGCTTTTCTGAAAAATAACTTCATCAGGAGAGAGGGAAAAAAAACTGGAAATGGTAAATCTAAATACTGCTGAAGCCCTCATTTGCCAGAGCAGACAGCTTTTACTATTAGGATGCCCAGCCAAACACAAATAATCCACTGCCAAAATGAGTTCCTTGGGACAATTTAGGAGTCTTTTGAAGTGAACGGCTTTTTGAGCTGGAATGAAGCCCAGGTTCATTTTCAAACCCAAGTCTAAATGACAAAGAGTAAATTTCCTATGCCCCTCACCCCCTTAGTGTAAGATTACTTTGAGCTGAGCATGGACTGTTTATCTAGCTATTCAAAGCTATTTTACCAGTTACTAACAATTGAGTATTTAAACAACTGGCTAGGATGTCAAAAGGGAGGAGGGGTAGTTTTCTTTGACCACATCTTGAGAAAACTTCATAAAAAGGAATGGGATAAGATAAAAATATATCTTATAGATCAATTTTGTATGCAAATATTTATTTTTGGGTTTTAGAAATAAAGGTTTTAGGTTTAAAAAATCAAAAGTTTTCTTTTAAGTCTAAAAAAATTAATGACCTGCAGACTGATATATATATATATATATGTATATGTATATATATGTATATATATAATTTGTGTGTATACATACATACTATATAATATATATATACATATTTACATGTATGTGTATATATATACACACAGACACATATAAACATTCAAAACATTATGGGATTTGAACAAAGTTCTTGAACTTTGTGATTTTCAATCAATCAATCAATCAAATGAGTATTTATTAAGTGCATTAAGTGCCTATTATGTATCAATAACCATGACAAGCACTGGAGACATAAAGAAAAAACTAAAATAGTCCTTGTCTTCAAAGACATTACACATTTGAAAAAAAAAATCAAAAAAATTCTCACCAGGATTTGAGTTTCCTTAGATAAATCTGAAATCATACCTGTTCAGAATCTCTCTATTACCACTGTCTCCCAAAAAAGTTTCTAAACTAGTCAGCACCCCATTAGCATCACAGGTTCTTAACCAAGGGTCCATGAACTTATTTTTTAAAAAATATTTTGATAGTATAATTTATTTCCTTTGTAATCTTATGTATTTTATTTTATACATTCAAAAGCAATATTCTGAGAAGGCTTCACCAAATTACCAAGTGGATTCATAATTCAAAAAAGGTGAAGAATCAACCTCTTTCTCTCCCTCCCTCTCTCCTTCTTTTTCTTGCTGTCTTCCTCTCTCTTTCTCTTCCTCCTCTCTCCTTCCCTTCCTCTCTCCCTCTTTCTCTTTCTCCAGCTTTGCCCATAACTTCAATGATGTAGGGAACTCCTTGTAAAGAAACTTCTTCTAGAAATACAGAAGGCAACTATTACGCAACATAAGAATTTTACAGAGTTTATTGGGGCACTGAGAGGTTAAGTCATTTGAGTGTCATATAACCCATAAGTGTTAGAGATGAAATTTGAACCAGATCCTCTTGAGTCCAAGGGTAACTCTTTATTCCCTCTGCTATGTTGATTCTCATTTTGCAGATAAAAAAGAATGAGGCTCAAAGAAGGAGAATTTTCCTCAGTCACATAGCTTATAAGTATCAGGACCAAGACACAAGCCCAGGACTTCTTGATTCCAGATCCAATGCCTTTTCCATCATGCCATATTGCCTCTTTGAGTTGTAGTGCTAGAGAAGACTTTTGAGAGTCTCTTGGACAGCATGGAGATCAAATCAGTCAATACTTAAAGAAATTAATTCATACTATTTAATGGAAGGTCAAATATAAAAGTGAAGCTTAGATACTTTGGCTACATAATGAGAAGATGGGACTCAGTGGAAAAAGACCCTGATGTTGGGAAAGACTGAAGGCAAAATGAAAAGGGGACAGCAGAGGATGAGATGGATAGATAGCATCATGGAAACAATGAATGTGAACGTGGACAGACTTGAAGAGATAGTAGAAGGGCCTGGCATGCTATGTTCCATGGAGTCATGAAGAGTTTGACATGACTAAATGAAGAGCAACAACAAAATGTTGACTCTTGCTATATTGAAGTAATCCTCATTATTACAGTGTTGAAGGAGACAGGAAAAAAATAAATATGGAAGCTATTTCTTTCCTTACATATACCTTTCCTTATCAAGGAGACAGGATAATATAACTGTAAATAACTATAACAATTTCTAATATTTATGGAGCACCTTAAAGTTTGCAAAGTCCCTCCCAGATATTATCTCATTTGAGCCTCACAACAAGCCTGTGAGGTAGGTGCTACTTGGAACTAATTTAGAGCTAGAAGGGCCTTCAAAATCATTTCAGTTTAATCCCTGCAATTTACAGATGTAGAAACTAAAGTCCAGGGAGTCTGACTTGCCCAGGGTCATACAGGTGGACAATGCCAGAAGTACCATCAGAACCAGGTCCTCTTACTCTAAAAGCAGCAATTTTTTTTTTCACTGAACCATAGTTACCATCCCAATTACTAGCTGTGTGACCCTGAATGAGATCCTTTACCCGTGTGTACCTTAGTTTTGTTTTGTTTTATTTTTCATCTACAAAGTGAGAAAAATACCT